GCAAATAAAATTTATTCAGAGAGTCACTCATGCCCTGGTCATCACATGACTTGACTATTCCAATGTACTCTACATGAGGCTACCCTTGAAGACTATGTGGAAGCTTCAACTGGTCCAGAATGCAGTGGCACAAGCAGTGATGGGCATGCCTCAGTATGCCCATGTAACACCTCTACTTCACAAGCTGCACTGGTTGCCAGTTTGCTTCTAGGTGCTATTTAAGGTGCTGGTTATTACCTATAAAGCCCTACATGGCATACGGCCTGATTACTTGAGAGACTGCCTGTCTCCCATATCTGCCTAGCTGATCCAATCTTACAGGGTTAGTGCAGTCCAGGTTCCTTCAATTAAACAATGTAATCTATAAGGACACAGGAAGTACACCTTTTCTGTAGTAGCACCTGCCCTGTGTAATGAGGTTCCCACCAAGATTTGAATGGCCTCTATCCTGGTATTTCAAAGGGTCCCTGAAGACCTGTCTGTTTGTTCAGGCCTTTGGTGAAGGTGACTGAAACCTCCTTTAGATTGCATGTGTTGTTTTCTTTATTCCCATCCAGTTTTGTCATTTTTGCCATCTTTACAGTACTCTTTATTTTGTTGTTGCTGTTGTGTTGTTTTTAATGTTTTAACAATTTGTAAACCATTCAGAGTTGCTAGGAGTCAGGTGACATTACAAATTAAGATATATTAATGTTTAGTTTCATTTAGTTTATATTAAAATGAATGATAAAGACATTTAAAATAAAACCATGGAATGTTGTAAATATGTATATTCTTAACTGTAAGCTCTCCCCAAATTGATCATCTGTATGAATTCATACTGTTCAGTGTTCTTTTCAATTATCTTCCAAATGACCCATTATCCAATATGTATTGCAAGTATATAATTCATACTACGCATAGTTATACTAAATTGTCTTATTTATTTATTTATTTATTTATTTATTTATTTATTTATTATTTAGCCTGATGCTGTTGGCTTTAATGACATTGTAAAAACTGACTATACATTTAAACCCCTAGAATAGCCTGTTAGTACCTCCTGCACAAATGACATTGTTTGTAGTCATTTGCACAGCATGAATCAAGCCAATGGACATCATGTTAGTAAATGTTGTGGAAAGAGTCTGTGAACTGTTGCCCTTATCAGCAAAAAGCCAGCATAAGCAGTTTTATGAAGCTGGGTAGTGGAAAGCACTATAGAATAGTTGGACTAATACTGTCAAAGGGTTTTTCTTGTTGCCCTAGTTGGGGGTGGGGAGGCCGTAAAACTGTCCTATTGTCTTCAAGTAATCTCCCAGGAAACAAAGTAGATCAGGATTACCACTTGAAGGCTCAGACCATAGTTGTTATTGTTTTAACATTTCTACCTTCCTATTTATCCCAGCATGAACCATTTGGGTTGGTTGTTGCATAGCTTAGTCTTATTTAGAAACAAAAAGGCAGTTTAGCCCTCAGTTATCACAAAGACAGAAAAAGAAAAGACAATGATTAGAAAGGAAAGGAAAGGCCCCAGCCTCTATGATCATGGATAATAAAAAGGAAAAAGTACTGCCACATGGTCACTTAGTGGAAAAGACTGGTTTCTGGGGGAAAAAAGGCTGTAAGCTTCATTTAGCTACATTTAGTGCCTTGTTAGAAATATGAACTTATAATCGTTACACTAAAAATAATACAGATTTTGCATAAACATATGCAATTGATTACGTTTTTTACATTTTCTTTTATTTTAATATTTTGAAAAACAGCTTAGAGATTTGTCGCTATAGCAATTAATTATATAAAAAATGTAAACAAAACCCCCCAATATCTTGCAGAATCCTGATTGCAGTCTAATACAGTTATATAAGTTCAGTGCTGTACATTTCAGCGGGACTAACCTAGACAACATATTTGCAAAGAATGATATGGTATAGCCATTATAAGTTTGGCTTTAAAATAAAGATAAGGTAGAAGGTCAGATAAAACACTGAGCTTAAGCCAAGTTTAGTCATGCCTAAATTAAGTTCCCTTGATTTCAGTGTGGCTACTCTTAAATTTACTTCGGTCTAGGTCCAATATGTTACATACAACATTACATGAGTCATCTTCTAACCATGTAATGTGACTTCCTCTTTGTAGCTAGGAACCAATCCCCCTTCCCTCAATTTTTCTCCATGAATTCCTGGGACAAAATTGATTGCACGGAGAAAAGGAAATTCATTCCAATAGCAGATGTCATTATGTCACAAACTTTTCCATTTCCTATTCTGAAATAGTACAAGCCCTAAAAAGTGTCCCCCCTAATTGGGACCTATGATAGTCCAAAATCCAAAGGGGTCTGGTAGTGCCATTTTGGACTAACAAATTTATTTAAAAGGGATACGCTTTCATGAGCTACAACTAACTTCATCAGATGCAATGGAGTGGTTAAACTAGTGTAGGATTTAAATCGCAGTGGATGGGGAGAGGGGAGAAGACAGGGTGGTTATGAAATTACTCCCCAAAGTGAGTATAAAGTTAAAATATAGAATAGAATGTAATTGCTATTAGGGGATTACATGATAAACTTAAGCAAGCAGAACATTTTTCCACAGGAAATCATATTTCTGTTTGATGATAATTCATGGGCTATGGTGGCTTCTGTGTTGTGAAATAACTTCTCATCTGCAATATGCCAACCACTGCTGGTCTTGCTAACTCTGTTTTTATTTATTGTATGCTTCTATAGTATTTTTGTAAATTAATTTGGGTAGTATTAATAAAATACTAAAATAAATATTTTATTTATAGAATAGTGAACACGTTACAAATTAAAATAAAAGCTCAAGGGCTTATTTTCAGCCTCCAGTTCTATCAGTGTATGGTCACATTTGTATGTGAGAGAGAGAGAAGGAAGGAGAGAAAGGAGAATACAAACAACACAAGAAAAAGTAAAATCCTAAATTCTTGCCCCTCCAAATTTTCTTCCTGCTTAGGCAGAGATAATAAGCCTGTCATATCTGGGCTGCAGAAGTCCAGATGACCACTAGATGGCAATAAAGACATATAACCCAAATATAGTATACCTAAGATCCCTTCCAGATAGCTACTTGAAAATACTACCCACAAACCATTGAGACAGCAGAAAAAGTATGCTGGTGATGAACTAGCAGTACCCATCTGGCAGAACCTGCTCTCTTTTCTAGTATAAATCATGTGTGAAACGAGCACCACAAATCTCTCTCTGGGTTAGTCAGAAGTAAAGTTTTATTGGAAGCGTTTGCAAAAGCCAATGGGCTTCATTGCAAATAAGAAGCCACACCCACATACACACTCCGGCCTAATTATATACAT